CAGGTATGTACCATCACACCTGGCTAACATTTTAACTTTGTGGTAGAGACAGAACTTGCTATGTTGCCGAGAGTAGTCTCAAACTCCTGGGTTTAAACGATCCTTCTGCCTCAGTCTCCCAAAGTGCTGGGATTACAAGTGTGAGCCACTTCACCTAACCTGATGCTCTTTTCATTAAAAAATACACATCTTAAATTCCTTCTGTTGCTATTTTCAGATGCACTAATCTTTTCTTCCACAATGCTTAATCTGTCATTAATCTCTTTCAGGGGATTTTTCAACTCACATATTTGAGATTTCATCTCTAGAAGTCGGATTATTTTTACATCTTCCAAGTCTCTTACATTTTTGAACAAATGGAATACAATTGTAATCACCCCTGTAATGTCTTGTCTTCTAATTGTAACATTTGTTATAATATAGTTCTGGGTTGATTTCAGTTTATTGATTTTTCCTTTCATCATGGTTCATGTTTTGCTTTCATATGCCTAGTAATCTTTTGCTGGCCGCTAGAGATTGCAAATTGATTTTTGTGAATATAATTTTGTATTTCTATAAGTATATTCAAGTTTCATCTGAGACACATTTACCTGTTTCATTTTTTGAGGACTTGCCTTTAAGTCTCACTTGCAAGACCAGAGCAGTGTTTAATCTAGGTATCACAGTTTTCCGTTACTAAGGCACGGCCCTTATGATACTCTATCCAGTGATTTGCAAATTGAAGTTTTTCAAATCTGGTGAAAACAGACAACATTCCCAACCCTGTGTATGCTCTAAGTATTCTTCCCACTAACCCGTTCAGATGATTCTTTCCCTTGCCTTGTGTATTTTCCTTACAACAATGCATTGATCAATACTTTGCTAAATATGCGAGTCCTGTCTACAGATCTCTGGGGTTCTTTGTTTTGCTTTTGTCTCCCAGATCCTGTCACCTATAAGAGTCATTCCTCAGCTTTCAGCAATCGCTGTTCCTTGGGGCGGAATATCCACAGTCTTGCAAACCATTATTTCATATATTTTACCTGTTGAATTTTGTTTATTTGTTTTTCTTTTTTTTGGTTGTTCTTGTCAAGATGTTAAATCTTGTCCCTGAAACTCCATGGAAGTCCCCCAGTCATGAAATCGTAACTTGAACTAAGATAATCATTCATGTTTAATTCTGATCTTGATCGGCTTGTGTTTTTGATCCAACCTACCTTTATTAATTAGTGTGACCTCTAAATTTATTGGGAAAATGGATTAAATATTAGCTAGCACTGTTCAATTTAAGATATTAGTATTGGAGATTTGGAAGATGTTAGTTACAAATTCTTGACATAAAATTGTCAATTTCTTTCTTTTCTTTTTTTTTTTTTTTTTTTTTTTTGAGACAGGGTTTTGTTCTGTCACCCAGGCTGCAGTGCAGGGGTGTGATCTTGGCTCACTGCAGCCTCACCCTAATGGGCTGAAGCAGTCCTCTTGCCTCAGCTCCCGCGCTTCATGTTCTTCCCACTCTCCCACAAGTAGCTGGGATTACAGGCTTGCACACCACCACACCTGGCTAAAAATTGTCAATTTCTTATGTCACTTTTTGCTTCTTTATTTATAACATAGTCAAAGGATTATTTTACTCTGGTATCTGATGAATGCTTAATATGGAGAAAAGTTTAACTATATGGTTGTTAAGTGTTAATAAATTGACTGCTTTTCTGGATAATTTTGATTAAATAAAAATTTGACCTACTATATTTATTCTAGAGTTCAGCTGTGATTCTATATGCATAAAATTAAAAATATTACTTTATCAGTATTTTAGAGAGATAGTAATTTAAATGTTTCTCTTCCAATAAGGTTCTTTCCATTTATACTGATTATAATTTGTAGAAGCAAATTTCAAATTGAAAATTAAGGAAACTCAATTAACCATGGTTACTGTGAAGCTGAACTTCTAACATATTTTATCATAACTGATTAGGAAGCTTGTCTCTTAAAATTAGACATAAATTTGCAGTAGTGGAAAGCAATGATGAATGACAAAGAATCAATCTATTGTCTTTCCTCTTTTCTTTTTTACCTAAAAGTAATTAGCATTATCATTAGACAGAAGTATTATTTTTATCATTTTAATACGACAGGGTAAATTATACTTGACATGATATTTTTATTGTATTTTTAAAAATATTTATTTTAAGTTGTGAGGTACCTGTGCAGGATGTGCAGATTTGCTACATAGATAAACATACATCATGGTGGTTTGCTGTACCTATGAACGCATCACCTAAGTATTAAGCTCAGAATGCATAAGCCATTTTTCCTGAGGCCCTCTCTTTCCTGATGCCCCCAACAGGCCCCAATGTGCATTGTTCTCCTCCCTGTGTCCATGTGATCTCATTGCTCAGCTCTGACTTATGAGCGACAGCCTACAGTGTTTGACTTTCTGTTCCTACATTAGTTTGTTAAGGATAATGGCTTCCAGCCCCTTCCATGTCCCTGCAAAAGACATCATCTCATTCCTTTTTATGGCTGCATAGTATTCCACGGTGTTATATACCCACATTTTCTTTATCCAGTCTATCACTGATGGACATTTGGGTTGATTCCATGTCTTCGCTATTGTGAATAGTGCTGCAATGAACATATTCATTAATATAAAATATATGTGTCCATATAAAATACAATGATTTATATTCCTCTGGGTGTATACCTGGTAATGGGATTGCTGTGTCAAATGGTATCTCTGGTTCTAGGTCTTTGAGGAATTGCCACATTGTCTTCCACAATGGTTGAACTAATTTTCATTCCTACCAACAGTGTGAAAGTTTTCCTATTTCTCTGTATCCTTGCCAGCATTTGTTGTTTCTTGACTTTAATAATCATCATTTTCACTGATGTGAGGTGGTGTCGCACTGTGGTTCTGATTTGCATTTCTCTAATGCTCAGTAGTGTTGGCTTTTTTAAATATGTTTTTGGGTTGCATAAATGTCTTCTTTGAGAAGTGTCTATTCATGTCCTTTGCCCAATTTTTAATGTGGTTGTTTTTTTTCTTAAAAATTTAAGTTCCTTATAGAATCTGGATATTAGACCTGTGTCAGATGGAGAGTTTGCAAAAATTTTCTCCCATTCTGTAGGTTGCCTGTTCACTCTGCTGCTCGTTTCTTTTGCTCTGCAGAACTTCTTTAGTTTAATTAGATCCCATTTGTCAATTCAGGCTTTTGTTGCAATTATTCCTTTTCATGTTTTCATCATAAAATCTTTGCCCATGCCTATGTCCTGTATGGAATGGCCTAGATTTTCTCCTAGGGCTTTTATAGTTTTGGTTTTACATTTAAGTCTTCAATCCATCTTGAGTTAATTTTTGTATAAGGTGCAAGGAAGGAGTCCAGTTTCAATTTTCTTCATATGGCTAGCCAGTTATCCCAGCACCGTTTTTTAAATAGAGAGTCCTTTCTCCATTGCTTGTTTTTGTCGGGTTTGTAGAAGATCAGATGATTGTAGATATCCAGTATAATTTCTGATATATCCATTCTGTTAGAATAATGCTAAATACTGTCAGTATAATTCTAATGCTGTCAATAGTAGTTTGACGGGAATAGCACTGAAACTATAAATTACTTTAGGGATATGGCCACTTTTATGATTTTGGATCTTTCTGTCCATGAACATGGAATGTTTTGAAATTTGATTGTGCCCTCTCTGATTTGCTTGAGCAGTGGTTTATAGTTCTCCTTGAAGAGGTCCTTCATATCCTTTGTTAGCTGTATTCTGAAGTATTTTATTGTCTTTATAGCAATTGTGAATGGAAGTTCATTCATGATTTGGCTATCTGCTTGTCTATTGTTGGTATATAAGAATGCTTGTGATTTTTGCACATTGACCTTGTATCCTGAGACTTTGTTGAAGTTGCTTATCAGCTTAAGAAGATTTCAGGTTAAGAAAATAGGGTTTTATATTAATATTATATTATATATTATATATAATATAATATATAATATATTAAATAATTCTGATTTCCTCTTCCAGAATTTCCAATATTGTGTTGAATAGGAATGGTGAGAAAAGGCATCCTTATCTTGTACCAGTTGCAAAGGGAAATTCAGTATGATATTGGTGGTGGGTTTGTCATAAATGGCTTTTATTATTTTGAAGTATGTTCCTTTAATAACAAGTTTATTGAGAGTTTTTAACATGAAGCGATGTTGAGTTTTATCAAAGGCCTTTTCTGCATCTATTGAGATAATCATGTGGTGTTTGTTTTTAGTTCTGTGTATATAATAAGTGACATTTATTGATTGGTGTATGTTGAACCAGCCTTGCATCCAGGGGGTGAAGTCAGCTTGATCCTGGTGGATAAGCTTTTGTATATGATGCTGGACTTTGTTTGCCAGTATTTCTTGTGGAGGTTTTTGCACTGATGCCCATTAAGGAAATTGGCCTGATGTTTTCTTTCTTTCTCTCTCTCTTTTTATTTTGTATCCCTGTCAGGTTTTGGTATCAGAATAATGCTGGCCTCATAAAATGAGTTAGGGAGGAGTCCCTCCTTTTCAATTGTTGGAAATAGTTTCAGAAGAAATGGTATCAGCTCCTCTTTTTACCTCAGGTAGTATAGAGCTCTAAATCCTTCTTGTCTTGGGCTTTTTTTGGTTGGGAGGCTATTTATTACTGCCTCAGTTTCAGAACTAGTTATTGGTCTATTCAGGGATTTAACTTCCTCCTGATTGAGTCGTAGAAGGGTGTATATGTCCAGGAATTTATCTATTTCTTCTAGACGTTCTAGTTAATTTTCATGGAGGGGTTTAGAGAATTCTCTGACGGTTGTATTTCTGTGGGGTCTGTGATGCTATCCCCTTTACAATTTTTTATTGTGTCTATTTGATTCTTCTCTCTTTTCTTTTTTATTAATCTAGCTAGGGGCCTATTTTATGAATTTTTTCAAAAAACCTGCTCCTGGATTTGTTAATTTTTTTAAAATCCAAACCGAGTTTATTGAGATGGTTTCTGACTCATCTTGATTCAGAGTGCTTTTAATGCTGCTTCCTCCTGAAAAAACATCCTTCTGTAAGTCTTGCTTTTCCTCTTGTAGGCTGGCAGAGGACAGTGGAGCAGCCAACACATAGAACTAAAATTTGTGCATGGCTAAAGACCATGGTGATTTTATAGCATCCTGGACATTTCACATCCATGAAGTAGAAATTGGGGCTCTGCACCAGGCATTTCTTCTTATGTTTCCTCTTCTCCTCCTCAGGAGAGGGATGAAGGAGATCATTTGTGAGAGCCATGTTTTCATGGGTAGATCGTCACTCCCAGAAAGGGCTCATTAATTTTTTGACGGGATTTTCATGTCTCTATGTCTTTCAGTTCCACTCTGATCCTAGTTATTTCTTGTAATCTGTTAGCTTTGGGTTATGTTTGCTCCTGGTTCTCTGGTTCTTTTAGTTGTGATGAGGGTATCAGTTTGAGATCTTTCTAGGTTTCTGATGTGGGTATTTAGTGTTAGAAATTTCCCTCTTAACACTGCTTCAGCTGTGTCCCAGAAATTCTGGTATGTTGCCGCTTTTCTTTCCTCATTGGTTTAAAATTACTTTTGATTTCTGCCTTAATTTCTTTATTTACTCAGGAGTCATTCAGCAACAGGTTATTCAATTCCATGTAGCTGTGTGGTTTTGATTGAGTTTGTTAATATTGAGTTCTAATTTAATTGCACTGTAGTCTGAGAGTCTGCTATGATTTCAGTTGTTTTGCACTTGCTGTGGCGTGTTTTACTTCCAATTATGTGATCAATTTTAGGGTAAGTGACATGCGGCATTTAGAAGAATATATACTTTGTTGTATAGAGATGGAGAGTTCTGCAGCTATCTATCAGGTCCACTTGATTCAGAGTTGAGTTCAAGTCCTTGAAATCTTTGTTAATTTTCTATCTTGATCTGTCTAATATTGACAGTGGGGTGCTAACATCTTCCACTATTAATGTGTGGGAATCTAAGTCTTTTTAAAGGTCTTTAAGAACTTGTTTTATGAATCTGGGTGCTCCTGTATTGAGTGCATATGTATTTAGATAGTTACTCTTCTTGCTGAATTACACCCTTTGCCATTATGTCATGTCCTTCATCTTTTTCTATCTTTGTTGGTTTTAAGTCTGTTTTGTCAGAAACTAGGATTACAACCCCTGCTTTTATCTGCTTTCCATTTGTTTGGTAAATTTTCCCCCATCCCTTTATCTTGAGCCTATGTGTGTCTTTGCACATGAGATGAGTCTCTTGAATAGAGCACACTGATAGGTTTTGAATCTATTTAGCTTGCCATTCTGCATCTTTTAATTGGGGGCATTTAGTCCATTTACATTTAAAGTTACATTTAATGTGTAAATTTGATCCTGTCATCATGATGCTGGCCAATTAATTTAGCAGACTTTTTATTGCAGTTGCTTCATAGTGTCATTGGTCTGTATACTTGAGTGTGTGTTGGTAGTGGCTGTAATGGCTTTTCCTTTCTATATTCAGTGCTTCCTTCTGGAGCTCTTGCAGGGCAGGCCTGGTAGTGATGAATTCCCTCAGCATTTGCTTGTCTGAAAAGGATTTTATTTCTCCTTTGCTTATGAAGCTTAGTTTGGCAGGATATGAAATTCTGGGTTAGAAATTCTTTTCTGTAAGAATGTTGAACATTGCCCTCCAATCTCTCCTGGCTTGTAGGGTTTCCACTGAGGCCTACTGTTAGTCTGATGAGCTTCCTTTTGTAGGTGACCTCACCTTTTTTTCTGGCTGCCCTTAACATTTTTTCTTGCATTTCAACCTTGGAAAATTTGATGATTATATGCCCTAGGGTTGATCTTCTCATGGAGTATCTTACTGGGGTTCTCTGAATTTCCTGAATTTGAATGTTGGCCCGTCTTTTCAGGTTGGGAAAGTTCTCCTGGATGATATACTAACATATGTCTTCCAACTTGGTTTTGTTGCCCTCATCTGTTTCAGGTACCCCAATCAATCATAGGTTTGGTATTTTAAAATAATCCCACAGTTCTTGGAGGTTTCTTTCATTCATTTTCATTCTTTGCTCTCTAATCTTGTCTGCCTAACTTATTTCAACAGGACAGTCTTCAAGCTCTGAGATTCTCTCCTCTACTTGGTCCATTCGGCTATTGATACTTGTGGTTGCATTATGAAGCTCTTGTGTTGTGTTCTTAAGTTGTATCAGGTCATTTATGTTCTTCTATAGACTGGTGATTCTGACTAAAAATTCCTGTAATGTTTTACCATTGCTCTTCTTCGCATTGAGTTAGAACATACTCCGTTAGCTCAGAAACGTCCATTATTACCCACTTTCTGAAGCCTACTTCTGTTAATTCATCCATGTCAGACTCAGCCCAGTTCTGTGGCCTTGCTGGAGAGGTGCTGTGATCACTGGGAGAAGAGACACTCTGGCTTTTTGAATTTTCCATATTTTTGTGTTGCATTTTCATGGGTTTATCTACTTTTGATCTTTGAAGCTGCTGACCTTTGTATGGGCTTTTGGGGGGTCTTTATGTTGATGTTGTAGTTCTCTGTTTGTTTTTCTTTTAACAGTCAGGCCCCACTTCCACAGAGCTGATGCAGTTTGCTGGAGGCCCCCTCCAGACCCTGTTTGCCTGGGTCCCTCCAGCACCTGGAGGTATCATCAGTGGAGGTTGCAGAACAGCAAAGATGGTTGCCTGCTCTTTTTTCTGGGAGCCCTGTCCCAGAGGGGCACCAACCTGATGCCAGCCAGAACACTCCTGTATGAGATGCCTGGACACCCCTGCTGCAAGGTCTCACCCAGTCAGTAAACACAGGATCAGGACCTGCTTGAAAAAGCAGTCTGGCTACCCCTTGATGGAGTAGATGCTCCGCACTGGGAAGAATTCCACTCATCTGGACTGCCCAGTCTCCTCAGAGCCACCAGATGGGAAAGACTAAGTCTGCTGAAACGGATATTGCAGCTGCCCCTTCCACAAGGGCTCCATCCCAGGAGATCAGAGTTCTATCCATAAGCCCCTGGCTGGAGTTGCTGCAATGTCTGCAGGGAGGCCCTGGCTTATGAGGAGGGATGGATGGATATGCCACCCTCCCCAAAGAAGCAGTCTGGCTACAATCTGCCACAGTCACTGTGCTGTGCTGTGAGGAATTCCTCCTGGTCCAAACCATCTAGTCTCACTGGCAGTAGCAGGGGAAAATGGCACACATGAGCTGCAGTGATGGTGGCTGCCCTTCCCCTGGGAGCCTATTGCATTTTTTTACAAAAATAAAACTGTAAAAAAAGTTTTCCTCAAAATCACAGTTTAAAAGTAATTGAAAACCAGAAATCTTTGGTCTGGACTAAATCCTGAATGCATAACCTTTATCTATTCTCCTGAATTTTATTTTTTAAAAAATGAATTTCTGTTAAAACATAAGAAATGCTGAATTTACTTCCTAAAAGTTCTGGAGGTCAGTTTAAAATCAGTTTTGTCAATGCTGTGTTCATTGTGGAGTCTTTAGGAGAGAATCTATCTTCTTGTCACTTTCAGCTTCTAGAGGGTGCCTGCATTTGTTGACTCATGATCTCCTCCTTCAAAGAACATTACTCCAATCCCTGATTACTTTGCCACATCTCCTCTGTCTTTGACCTTCTTGCTTCCCTTTTATAAAGATCTTTTCAATTACATTGAATTTACCCAGATAATCCAAGAAAATCTCCCAGTCTCAAGATCCTTAACTTGATTTTAGAGGGGAGAAAGGGCTATTCTTCAGCCTGCCACAGACAATCTTCTCTCATTCCTTTCAGTTTTTTCTTAAATATTCTCTTATTTATGTTACTTTCTAGGTTCCTGTGGGCACTGAAGTTTGCAGACTTTGACTTTCAAAAGGAGAGCCTTATCTACTTGTATTACTAAAGCAGCACAACTCTAGTTAGAAGTTGGCCATCAGACTCACACAATATAAAAGGTTTGGATAGGCCATGCATGGTGGCTGATGCCTGTAATGCCAGCACTTTGGGAGGGCAAGGTGGGTGGATCACCTGAGATCAGGAGTTTGAGACCAGCCTGGCCAACATGGTGAAACCCCATCTCTACTAAAAATACAAAATTAGCCGGACGTAGTGGCGGGTGCTTGTAATCCCAGCTACTTGGGAGGCTGAGGCATGAGAATCACTTGAACCCAGGAGGCTGAGGTTGCAGTGAGCCGAGATTGTGCCACTGCACTCCAGCCTGGGTGATAGGGAGAGACTCTGTCTCAAAAATTAAAAAAAAGGTTTAATAAAATTTGAACTGCACTTAGGTTTATCAAAGGATACAAGAAAAGAAATATAATAGGAATAACATCTTCATCTCATCAAGAGGTGCCAATCAAGGACAACCTAAGGGCACAGCTTCTTTGGCTCCTTGGCTGTGCCACCTGTGGCATGGAGGCATGGAGGGATGACAAGGACAAGGGACAACGTGAGTGGGAATCACCTCAGCATAAGTTGCAGCCTGAGTACAGGCACAATACCATATCTATTTGTTTGTACTAAAACAATTTCTCATAATTTTCATAATTCACTTCAAGTCTTGTGATAGTTTTGTAAAGAAAACACAATGTATCTCTTTTTTCTTCCTTTTCTTCCTCCTGTTATTTTCTGTTATCATCTTACAGTTATCATCTACAACTATCATTTATTGAACTCTTTTTCTTTTTACTTGGCAAGGCATATATATAATTAATAATTATTAAATTCTATAAAATGATGAAATAATATTTTTCTTTTTTTACATAGGCAAATACTTTATATCTCCTCTGTTTTGTTTTTGTCTTATCACATATGCAACATAATATGGTCAGCATTTGTTTTCTTTTTCTTTTATTTATTTTTGAGGCAGACGCTTGCTTTGTTACACAGGCTGTAGTGCAGTGGTGTGATCCTGGCTCACTGCAACTGCTGCATCCCGAGTTCAAGCGGTTCTCCTGTCTCAGCCTCCCAAGTATCTGGGATTACAGGTACGTACCACCATGCCCGACTAATTTTTTTTTTTAGTAAAGACATGGTTTCACCATGTTGGCCTCAAACTCCTTGCTTTAAGTGATCTGCTTGCCTCAGCCTCTCAAAGTGCTGGAATTACAGGCGTGAGCCACTGCAACCAACCTGGACTGCATTTCTTTATCTTGTTTATTATCCATCCAAGTGAGAAAAAAATTTTTGGATCTTTTCTTTTTTAAAAAAATTTTTATGCTGCTATCGCCATGGATTGTAGCACAGCACTTTGTGTAAAATAAGTCCTCAGATATTTATTAACTCTGCTGCATGTGTA